CATACAATGTATATATAAATGACATATTTATTTGACTGTTTTACACGACACGAGAATTATTGTTAACACGTTCTGCTGTTATATTGTATACGAATTGTATAGAATTGTATTGAGTTTTATGAATGACTTGTATTGAGTGAAAGATTTCTATTAAAGAGCCAAAACTTTGATACCTGTGCTTATAAGGTCTACTCCCGAGTATTTTGGGCTTTCAATTAATTATAAAATGTTGTGTTTATATGGAGTATAAAAATAATTTGAATAAATGATTTGAAAACAATTGGATATACTTTTGAACAAAGCTATGGATTCTCCGAAAAGAAGTTTTATCCAAAAATCGGGTTAATATCACAATTAACTCTATAGTATTTTTGTCTAAAGTAGATTTGAATTTAGTTATACATTTACTTTAAGTTTAGTCGAAAATGAAAGTAAATTATTTTGCAAAGAAACTGACGATCAGAATACGGAAGGAGTGAATGATATCGAAATGACTGACGAGAAGGAGTTGTCTTTAAATGTGTTGAAGAATAAGAAAAATAAGAGGGAAAAGGATAACAAACCAATTGTTGGGCAAAAGACTATTTATAATATGAATGAATCAGTGGAGGAATTGCGTTCAGAAAGTGATTGGAAACACTTCCATACCTCCACTTCAACTCCAACATCACTACAAACACATATCCCCGATGTTTGTATACTTTTTAATTACTTTGATATTCTTATAATTTACAGAATATTATGTTAATTATTATAATAATTTAGTTGAACGTCTCGAGTATTAGCTATGAGAGCAATGACTCGGATATGTTGCTTGAGAGGCAATTGTCTCACTTTCAGATAACCGATGAAATCGTTGAATCGTTAGTTTTGGAAGATTTTGATACAAGCGATGATTTAAAGATATTCAAAAGTGATCTCAATATCCCTAATAATTAATTGATTGTTTTAATTATAAATTAATATTTGCTAATATATATTTTATTTTCTTTTAGTTTTAATATTTTTACTTTTGTTAATACTGTATATTAATATATTGTAAATATTATTTATTTATTTACTCTTATGTTAGAATTAATATACTGTGTTGTACTATATTTTGTATATTGTAGACTACAATTTGTAGTATTTAATTAGATATTGTAGGATGCTCTTATGATTTTAATAATTAACAACTTTTATTATATTTTTATTTGTGAAAAATTTATTATCGCATTTACTTAACACCTGTGTATAAAATTAAATAAATCTAAAATTCTTATAAACATATTGTAAATATTAAGCTTACATATAGAATGGATTACATAATACAATTTCCTATAAAACTA